TGCATCAACATAAGTTCAAACCAATCAAGGTCTCAAGCATTCATTCCGATTGGTTACTAGCTTAAACAAATTCCAAGTCAATTTAAACTCACACAACAAGCTGTAACGTGAATAAAAGCTTTATAAGGCAGCGTTTCTCAGACCGCGATCTCTGGTCGTGTTGATTATTTAACGCCGTTGTATTCACTAAGATACGTTGCGTCTCACAAATGCCCCAGTTTTATAATTTTATCGCCACGTTTCGAAAACCAATTTCAAAAAAACTCGAGCATGACGACCGAGTCACAAAGATGGAGAAAAAAGCCACTATGAGAGTCAAGAAACCGAGTCATGGAGGTATGTGTTGTACACGTTACCGGAAATACCCGAAATCCGTTTCAATTAGTTTTTGGTCCTACGCATAATTAGAACACCTGACGCAGCTTGGCGTAACGAAACTCCTAACAACGCCAGGAGTTTCCACCGTTGACTAGGGCAAAATAGTTTAAACGGATTCATTTCCAGTAACACACCCAACACGACACAGATGTTTGTCCTCGTCTTTCGTCTTGTCCTCGTCTGTCCAAGAAATCCTACCAACCGTCGAAAAAGAAAAACTTGGTTTTGAAACATAAACGGGGTGACCAAAGTCCTCGAAAAACAGCAGAGCCGCGTAAAAGAAAGATAATGTTCTATTCCAACTTCACACGAAGGTGTTGTAGACCGAAACATTTCCTTCAACGTTTTGGTGCAAAACTCACATACCAAATTCTATCGAAATTCGTTACAGTATTTATGAGATAAAACGTGTTGGCAGACAGACAAACATTTCTTCCTCTTTATGCCCTCAATTTACGTACTTCGCGGAAAGAATGCATAATGAAAGTGTTTCAGTAGGTACAATCCCGAAACGGTTTATAGACTGTTTACGAGTCAGTTCTGCACACCCCTAAATCAAGTGCACTGAGGACCCAAGTTAACTGCGTGCTAATGCCACTTTTGATAATGTAATGTTCTTACTGAAATACATCCTGTTTGCTACTCGTAGCTATCCGAGTCTATTTTCATATTAATCTATGACGTATGTGATATGAAATATGGGTAAAGTTCCTTTGTGTATTTTAATGTGTGCTCTTGTTTCATTCAAATTAAATACGTACATACAGAAATTGTGAATAATTTTCACGGTGACACAGTCACGCAAATAGTGGCTCTCGATCAAAAATTGCTGTGAAAATATTTAAATTTAAAAACAAAATATTGTTAATACCTGCAGCATTCAAGCACCGTGCCAAATTCTCGGACAATTTTTTTTTCCCCCACTACCATCGACAAATATAGTTTGCCATAACTGAATTTATGGGCAAAATTTTTTTTAAGTAAAAAGATAACTTCAATCACAGGAAATGAATAAAAAAACAAAGGCTGCCTACAGTTAGTTTACTTAGGGCACATAGAAACAGAGTGCTGATAAAGCAGATTACAGATAACGGACGTCATCAGAATCGAAACTACGGCAGGCAGACCATCTGTCAATAATGCAATTTCGTCGCTGAACATGGAATCCAATTCTCGCTCTCGGCGGTAAACACAAATTATCGTCCAACTGCACAAAATCTTTTTTAAGCTAAATGACGTAGGCTTTCCTAGCCAGGCTGGCGAAATTCTTCTCGGGCTACCAGCCATGTCAGGTGGTTTGATGAAGAAAACACCAACGTTTCGAGAACCGTCCTCGTCCTCAGGGTACTGAAGTTGGAGATCCCTTCTCCTGTGTTGGTGTTTTCTCCATTAAACCACCTCACACGGCTGGTACCCCGAGAAGAGTACATTATACTACGTAAATTATTATAAATTTTAAAAAAAAAATCATGATCTATCTAAAAATTATATTTCCCATGCATAGCTTTAATGACACACTAGTTATCACGATGCAGTTATAACCTATACCAAATTTGATCAAAATCGTTCGGTACATTTGGCGAAAACATGTGAAAGGTCTCAGACTTTTCACTTCCTGCAATGGAAGGCGCAAATCTCATTCTTATGAACGCTGAACCTTTCTTAATTAAATGAGCCAGCAAGTGAACGTGAAACTCCCAAATAAAACACCGCATTTCACACTAACGCGTAATAAACAGCATTAATAATGATAAATATAATTTTATGCTTGACAGCTGGAAATTAAAGACGCTACGTTCCTGTCTCCTACGGGCGAACTATTTCTAGAGGCACAGCCTTCACAGCGAGAGACGAAAGTGACAGGATCCCTTGCGAATAATAGGTTCTGTGTCACGGTTACCAACTGCCCTGATTTCGCGTTATACGATACGTCTTACCGGCCTCTTAGCACACGTCATGGTGTCATCTTACGTCAAACTAATCAACTAACTAAATTCCTGTTTCATTAATTTGACTGGTTACCATGAATCCTATATTGAGACGTGGGGGCTAGAATCACTCTCAGAACACCTATTCGCGACTTTACGTTGGTTTACAACACTCGAAGCGGATTGTAAGAAAAAAACCCATACAAACAAGAGGATTTCCACACGTACAATCAGAATACTACACGGGGCAACAACCCAGAAAACCATTATCTAAACTCTTATCGCCATGAAAGCCTCACATCCACTTAATTCACCTTGATGTTCATTTATTGCCTGTATAAATATACTGTTGCAAAGCTTATCAGTACAACAGATATTATATTGCATCAATTCACACGCACATACAAGCACTTGCATTCCGTATTCGTCACGCCATAAAAATATGTTCAAAACAGATGTTGAAGATCATTTATAATGCAGGCTTTTTTATGACGGAACTTTCTTTTTTTTTTGAAAGTGAAATTATAAAGTTTCATTTGATCTTCTTATAAAGAAGGGTTATACTGAATTTATACGGATTTAAATTAAATTCCCGATAACTTGACAAGAATTCGTTCAAATTCTGGGATTTTGTAACTTTTCGTAGCAAGTAGTTTTTTAGAATTTCAGTGTACTCCAAAGAGTACACTTCAATCTTGTCACGGTGAGGGACGCTTAACCTCCGGGACGGGACTGTCTCTTGTCGAATGTCTGCAACTATTTGTTCAACAAACCCTACTAGCAGTTACCCTCCGTATCTGGAGACCATCTCGTCCATCAGAATCTTGGCATGTTGACAGTTCCTGCTAATAATGCACACCGCGAACTCATATCTATTTTACAACCCGATTCCTTTTCTGTTTCTGCCACAAACGTGTCTTCAGCCTGGTTACTAAATGGTAAAAAAATACATTATCGGATCACAAGCAATCCTAACAATACAATGACCATTCACTGTAGCGTCCTGACAATCGGTCAAAATATCTCAGGCAGTACTAGCTATAGTCGGCGCAATAGTTTTTGGCCGGTGGAATTTTCAAGGGAAAGGCTAGGAGCGAGTCTCTTGTGCGGTAGTATAATGCTGACTGCACCGAGGAGCTTATCGGACTGAACGCCCAAACAAAAGAAATACACTGACCGTGCCACCTCAGGTACACAGACTAGGCCCGTCCGCCAGCTCCTCCACCGGCCAAAAACTACTGGCTGGATGATCTACATTCGATTCCCGTCATCCTAATGAATGTTTCCCATTGTCACCGAATCCAGACCGTCTATGGGTATCGGGGGCTCTTTCTCTGGGAATAATGAGGCCAGAGTAAAAACTGACCTCCTTACAGTGGTCTGGTGTATGTGAAGTTTTATATCCAAGCTCCTTCTGCACTTGGGCGCATGGATAGGTACTTTAAAGAGATATGCCTTCAGCCAAAACCATTAATGTGACGAAAATACAAAAGTGGACCATTTAAATTATTTTCGATTTTATATCTGTAACCAGTGAACTACTGTAGCTGGACGCGAAAGACAATTATAAATACGCCCACACATTTTTAGGAAAATTTATTCGAGCATGGTAAAGATGTCTCAGTTTGAGGTTGTTTCCATAATACATTTACGCTCGAACTACTCGACACCATTATGCTGGTAGTGGTAATAATCCACTGGCCGATACGCAGTATATCTGATATACACGTTGCTGTAAGCTACGTCTGGCACATTGTGATTGGCTGCCATTATATACTGATTTTGTTTCTAATTCCACTACTTTCCGTTCCCCGTGTCAACTGATGCAATGCAGAATTTTTCTATTCTAATACAGCCATTTCAGAACACCAAACAAGAGGATCTGAAATAGCGAACCTTTCGTGCCAAAACCTGAATACACATCCAACAAATCGTGTAGTAACACTAAAAACAATAAACTCGAAAATAAAATATCTGTTCACACTTAAATTTACTATCATCTTACAACGGCTTTGCTTCAACTTACTAAAATCAGGGAACAAAAGTAATGAACTGCAAAGAAAAAAATACAGCAGATTCCAGTTAATTGTGCATCGGTTAATCGGGGCAGCCGTTTGTTTGGGACAAATCTTAAAGAACAAATCTTTACTCTTTACGTGGAACTTCGCATAATTGGAGCAGCCGCTTAACTGGGCCAAAGTGTTCTAGTCCAGACGTATCCCACTTAACCGGAATCCACTGTATTATAAATGTGCAAAAATTACGACCCTGTCAAAAGTACTCTGTGGTCTGTTTTGAATTCTCAGCGTGTGCCTATTCTTGACATCAAGTCCAAAACCTGTGCATGAAAAGGGAGCATGGAGGGGTACATTTTGGTTGACGTACTTACACCACTTTCATTGCCGGATATATTACTGTATTCCTTACAGACTTCCTGAACACGGTTATGTAACATTTGAAGTGAAGATTTCAGGAAACGATCAGAGGCCTTGGTACCATAAAAAGTTGCCTCACATGAATCGATAATACAAGATGACTAGGATGGTTTATGCTAGTATGTTTAAAACATTAACACTTAGGTTAAGTAAGGTTGATACATGCCAGGCCAGTCTCTCATTAGCTTTCTGGTGGTGCCACTGTAGCTTCGATCTAACGGGTCCGTTTTTTTACAGGTTAATTTTGTGACCCACGTACCTGATTTGATACATTTCACGGCTTCTTTGGCCGACACCCACTTCGGATCTCTTTTAAGGGGTTGAGCTGGTTCTGGGCTGTAAGTGTAGTAAGACCTGGGTGTATTACCCCTCGAAACGGTGACTGACGTAGACCCCCAATGCAGAACTCCGCCAAACCTTGTAGACACTCTTGCAACAGATGCCATAGTAAGTCCTGCACACAATAAACCACACTACACTCGTTGCGTTCAGACGAAAGTTAACAAGACCTTTTGGTCTACAAATGACATTCGTTTCAAACGGCAAAAATGATCACGTCGCTGCAATGATAGAAAGAGGAAACTGCTGTACGATTACCCTGCCACAGGCGGGAGAATCTAGCAATTTCCACACCGACTACATCTACGAAGTCGGTTAAGACGTTAACTACTTTATGACCATTTATCCATCCAATTCGAGTAGTGATTTACATATTTTATTCCAAACTCAATTAGGTGTGGTATTACTAGTTTTAAACATCTAGAATATACTTTATTTCCAGTGTTGCTTATTAATGCAACTACTTCCTTTCTCTTACTCAAATAACATACCGATTTCAGAGATGAAGCCTCACCTAAAGACTGACCATGTACTAAGCTGACAGTTGCAAACCTCAGAAGTGATCACAGACATCAGTGAGATCATACTGAGCAGTGAAAAAAATTGACAGTGGAACCACGGTTCCGGAGAATCTGACGTAAATACGCAAACGCAGCAGTAGCGTGAAGTGCGATGCGCATTTATTTGTATAAATAAATGTTTGTAGAACCTAAACCATTTGTGATATGTAAAATCTGAAAACAGATATGGAAAGCTCAAGAGGTAATACGTATCTCGTACGCAATATGTCCAGATCCATCTCTTACGGTTAACGCTTAACGCGCTAGATGCATTGAAAATTGTACACATTGGTTCATTAAAATTACAATGAAATACATTATGCACATGAAAACATTAAATGTGATGAACAATAAAAATAAATAAGAATCCCTTACCTCAAACTGTGTTCAATTGTAAGAGAACACGATGTCCACCCGCAATGTACAATTTAATCAAAACTAAAATGGAGTGTGGAAGGCAGTATCACAAATTTCTTAACAATTCTTATGTAAGATAAGAAATTTTGATATTCTGAAACTTTTTAAACAGCACAAAGTTATCTACTCTACGACGCACTTCTTCTACAAGCGATTCACAGCTCAGCTCTTTCCGCAATAACGAAAGCGGATTGTTGACGGCAGTAATGAAACCCAACAATGCCGAATAAACAGATGACATAACAATTAGTTTCTTAGGTAAAGGAGTGGATTGCAATACATTTTATTTAGGCAATTATACTGCATGTATAATAAATGAGAAAAGAGCCTTACGGCATGCTCAACCAATATTGTTGCAGGAGTGTTAGAAATTCGAATCCTGTTTCTTGCATTGTTATGCACGCAGGAGTTAATATAAAAGCTGACCATTGTCGGTCCATATTTACACATTGTTGGTATGGATCTTACACAACTTCGTAAATAACGCTGTTTTTGCCGAATGACCCTTCCTTAGAGACGTATTTGCGTCAAAAGAAGACAAGCCTAATTCTCTTACACGAGTTCACAAATGCACATGAAAACATTAAATGTGATGAACAATAAAAATAAATAAGAATCCCTTACCTCAAACTGTGTTCAATTGTAAGAGAACACGATGTCCACCCGCAATGTACAATTTAATCAAAACTAAAATGGAGTGTGGAAGGCAGTATCACAAATTTCTTAACAATTCTTATGTAAGATAAGAAATTTTGATATTCTGAAACTTTTTAAACAGCACAAAGTTATCTACTCTACGACGCACTTCTTCTACAAGCGATTCATAGCTCAGCTCTTTCCGCAATAACGAAAGCGGATTGTTGACGGCAGTAATGAAACACAATAATGTCGAATAAACAGGTGACATTTTCTAGGTAACATAACAATGCACGCAGGAGTTCATATAAAAGCTGACCATTGTTGTTGACAGCAGTAATGAAACACAACAATGTCGAATAAACAGATGACGTTTTCTAGGTAACATAACAATGCATGCAGGAATTCATATATAAGCTAACCATTGTCGTTGATGGCAGTAATGAAACACAACAATGCCGAACAGATGATGTTTTCTAGGTAACATAACAATGCATGCACGTGTTCATATAAAAGCTGACCATTGTCGGTCCATATTTACACATTGTTGGTATGGATCTTACACATTTGCCTAACGCTGTTTTGCCGAATGACCCTTCCCTATAGACGTATTTACGTCAATAATGGAGAAATTAGGAGAAAAAATTCACCACTGCAAATTTATTTATTATATATGTCAACATATTTGCAACATTTGTTGATTTCATTCACAAATGTATTTAGTTTACTACAATTTATAACACTGAAATTTCACTGTATTCAGTGTCTGTTCTTTTAGAGTAATCTCCAGTTTCGTCAAGCCCAAAATTTTAACAGTCAGGGACTCAATGTAGTACATATTCCCAAGTTTCATGGTGGTCCTTAAAGTAGAAATGTATACAGAAAGCAAACCCATTTTTCGCCTACCAATATGAAAATACACACACCATTTGTAACTTTGAGCGATTATTATGGAAGTAATGCGATTTGCACGCGAAGTTCTAAATGTAAGTTTTGGGCATTACTGGTTCATTCTTTCTGTAAACATTCTTTACAATTATGCCAAAAAACTGTTTATAAAAGAGGACATTTATACAATTTATCCCTCTCAATACATTAGATGGCATACATATACAATTTG